CAAGAAAGTAAATGAATACAACTCAGCTTTGTTCAGAATATGTTCACAACTCAAGTACTGTGGACAAAAAGTTACCGATGAAGATATGTTGGAGAAAACTTACTCCACATTTCATGCAACAAATATTACCTTGATGCAATAGTATCTGACATTCCCAAATTCACGGTCCTTTTAAAAAAAAAATTGTTTATGCTTATTTTAAAATAAGAGTATCATTTTTGAAAAATATTATTGCGGAATTTGTCCCCAAAATATGATAAATACATTTTCAAAGCATTTCCGAAAAAATGTATTTTATTTTTATTAAAACATTGGGATGTAATCGTCAATATAGAAACATAAGCCTAAACAGACCTTACATTCATTTACACTAATGATTTACATATCCTTTAATCTTTCAGTATAATGTATCTTCGCATTGATACTAGTGATATAAATAAACTGAGTGGGTCAGGTTTTGAAACCTGGTGAGTACATAGGGTTTTCAACCCACAATAATATAGTTAATTTGTTTCTTCACATACTTCATGTCTAACAATTAACCCGATTACCCATCCCCATTATCTTCTTTATTCTTAAGGATATACCCTAAGAATTATCTATTCTTCAATATTTATTCCTAAGGAATAGGAACGAAGTCCATAGTTGTAGTGTAACACCGTAAATTTCAAAACAATTTGTTTTTTTTTTTTTGATTTTCTTATAAACATAATTCGATTAATATTCATCAAACAACCATATTAATTATCCAATATAGGTTAATACAAAATCCCAAGATCACAATGTAAAAACTCCGAGTGTGTGTGTACGGATCAAGCCGGTGCCTTCCCGCGGTCGTCACTAGTACCTAAAATAAAAACATCAAACACTGTAAGCACAAGGCTTAGTGAGTTCCCCAAAATACCACACATAACACATATTAGCCACTCGAGGCTATAACTCTGTGGGTCCGTGCACCCAAACTCTGTGAACCCTCAGGTTCTAGCTCTGATAAACATGCACTACATAAATCACATAGAAATAATGCAGTACAACACATAACATACATAGCATACAAACATTCTATCACATAACTCTGGTTACTTACTCAAGGTAATATAGTATAGTGAGAAGACTCACCTCGCGTATCTCGGTATCTCACGAATCCTGGCAATCCCTCGTGCTCGATCCTCCGAGCTCTAATCCTCCTATAACATTATGTTTCTAATTAACACTTTATATCTCTAAGGTTGACTATCCATAAGAAGTCAATCACAGGTCAACTCTAGTCAACGGTCAACTTTGACCGGACTCGGCGAGTACCATACCGACTCGGCGAGTCTAGACGTTTTCACCAACCCTTTGAAATCCCCTTACTACACGTCGAGTATTCCCCCCTTTACTCGACGAGTTTCACCTGAATGAATCGTGGGGCCACCCCGACTCAACTCGCCGAGTCTCAAGGACAACTCGGCGAGTCCAAGCTTGACTCAGTCCACTCGTCATCCCTCTCCAACTCACCTTGACTCACTGAGTCTACCCATGACTCGATTGGACCACTCGCTGAGCAGTCCCAAGGCAATCTTCAAGCTACTCGCCGAGTTGGATGAATAGACTCGGCGAGTCCATGCCATGCAACCACTCCAACTCGCTTCTAAGGTCAGATCTGCTTCCAAAAACTATAGATCTGGCCTCCCGAGACTGATTCATCACGTAAAGCTCCTATCTTGGAGCTCATAACACCCCTTATAGCTCAATAATGGAGTTTTTGACCTAAGGCATGAGGATTCCACTCCAAAGCCTCCATTGATTCCCAAAAAGCTTGGGTAAAGGGACACTCCGGACCTCTATGGATCCAGATCCAGAGTTTCAACACAAGAAGGGGGCTATTTGGCATCAACTCATTCCATAAATGTCCATAAGAAACCCTAGGTCTCCCTATACTCCACAAACCAGAAAATGGATCGAATTCATACCTCTAGATCGATGCTCTAAGCTTCAAATCCACTGAATAACAACCTCTTTTGCTTCCTCTTGCTTAGATTCTTCTCCTTCTTTGCTAGATCACACACACAAGGTCAATAAGGCTTCCTTTCTCTCTCAAAACGTTCCAGCTCTCAAAGGTCTCTCTCTAAGGGTTGGGTGAGCACAAATGACGGCCATAAGGCCCTTAAATAAGTCTCAAACCCGAGAAATTAGGGTTTCATTACACAGCGCAGACTCACCGAGTCCATATCCTGGACTCGCCGAGTCCAGGCGCGATCCCGCATCCAATCCGCGTCCCTACTCGGCGAGTCTGAGCTCCAACTCGCCGAGTCCCCCCCCACAAAACAACAAAATAATAATAAACAAGATACCTGATAAAATCCGGCTGTTACATGTAGATCTTATCTGTTATGCACAAATGCCACTGATATCCATTAGGCACTAAGTCTAGAGTTGCCAATGTTCATTCGTAAGGCACTAAGTCCATAGCTGCCAGGGTTTTTAGAGTACATTTGGTGAACACGTACTTCAAAAACACCTACAAGTTGTGAGCCTGCTAGCGTTCCACTGGATTGTCTAGAATAGTCTGTGGTCGTCATCTATACTCTGATAGATGAATGGATCAACTTTAAAGTCAAGCTTCTCATCATCTATATCATCTTTCATCTCTCATCATTCATCTATCCATCTTTACCTAATATATTTATAGGTATAAAAATACATATACGATTTAAATCACATAAAACATGTATAAATCGTTCAATAAGCATATATATCATGAACACAAATATTAAGCACATATAGCATGTATTAATATTAAATAATTCATATATATATATATATATATATATGTGTGTGTGTGTGTGTGTGTGTGTGTAAGATGAAAGTAACTATGCACTCACTTGTTAAAGTGATGATTCAAAATTCACACAGCACTTCGCTTCTAGCAATTGTCTTTTCATTTGACGCAACCTATTGTCATTAACACTAACTTTTAGTCGAATATTTATTGCAACTAATTATTAGTCTAGATTCATCATTAATTCAAAGTCTACTTCGAGATCTATCAAGTAAGGAACAACTGGGTAGGATCATATCGGAGGTAGGGTATGTTTGGTATACGAAGTATACTGTTTGGAAATCCCACATTAACCACCTTACTAAATCACAACCTAGACATTATCCCTATAAGTAGATCAATCAGTATAACGACTTGGAATCACTAATAGATCTTGTTTATAGGTTCATAATAACGATAGTGAACTTAAACATAAGTTATACTTAAAGTATGGTAAACATAACTCACTTACAACGAGGTTTAGCAAGGAATTGGGCTCTACGGGCAGAACTTCTAGGATGTCAACGGGGGAAAACGGGACGGGGAGTGCATCCCCCGACCCCGCTCCTGAAATTTCCTCGTTCCCCCGTCACTGCCCTTGTCCCCGAAATGTTCAGCCTTTCTACCGCTGCCCCCGTCCTCGGATCCCCTTTATTACCCCCACCCCCGCCCCTGTTCCCCCATCCCCGATTGATTTTGGGCTGCCTTTTTTGGGCTAAAAGAAGTTGGTATTTAGGCTAAAAGAAGCTATTTTCTTGGTAACAAATAATTATTTATAGCATAATTTTATATGTTAAAAATAAAAAAGTTATGACATCTTAAAAACATTATAGTAACAACTTAAAAACATGTTTTTGATGCATTTTTGAAGCTCAAAATCAGGTTATTGTTTATTATATTTATGTAATTAATATATGTAAATATATGTGTAATTTTTTATCGGGGTCTCCATGGGGGTTTCGGGACGGGATTGCCTACCCCACCCCCACCCCTAAAATTATAGCCACTACAAGAAAAACAACCTTTTACGACGCTCATTGCGCGTCGTAAAAGGCTCAGACGATGCACAAATGCGCGTCAAGGAAGGCCATGTCATAAAGAGAGACGATGCGCATTTACGACGTGCGTTTACGACACACAATGCGTATCAAGGAATGCCCTATCATAAAGGAAGACGACACGCATTCGCGTGTCGTAACCTTACAACGCGCGTGTTAATGTCACGCAATGCGTATCAAGAAAGCCTCTGTCAAGAAAGGCCATGTCATAAATGAAGATGACACACATTTTTGCGTATCGTAAATTTAAATGTTTTAAAAAAATAAATTTATATATTTATTAAATTTTCAATTAAATTTGCATTTAATTTCTCATAATAAAAATAAAATACCATATATAAAAAATACAATCCATTGCATAATATAAAATAAAATTTCATACTCAAAAAATAAAATAAATTACACAAATTATAATATCATACAAAGAATCATTCAAATGTTAAACAAAAATAATACATTGCTAACATGGGTTATACATTCCTATAAAAATAACCAATAATCATACAACTTTGTTTCTTACTGGAAAGGAATGCCAAACATGATTACAAGTCTCCCTTAATCTTGATTACTCGCCTACTAACATGGGTTATACATTCCGAGCTAGTTAGTTTGAAACTACGCACATCAACAAGACCTGTAAATTTGAATCATGCAACCATTAGATTCACATATTGAGAAATGAAAGTATACTATGTTATTTCTTACATTTAACCTTCTTATACGTAATAAGATGAAATGAAAGTAGGATGATATAATAAACACTCATATATAGCTTAGTAGATTAAGACTAGTCCACATTTAGTCTATTAAGTAAAATAAAAAAGAAACAAGACTTCAATTATAAGGATGAGTATGGTTTAGAAACATCCACCACCATAAATTCTTGAGTTCCGAAGCTTTCCCCTGTATCCGAAACACAAATTGTATAAAAAAACAGTATATTAAGTTGCCATCCACATCAACCAAGAGATGAAAAATTATCTATTTATCGTGCAATCAGTTGCTAACTTGCTATATATAATATATAAAATGTTTAAAGACTGAAAGTTTTAACTAATAGTAAGCAAAACAAATAACAAAATGAGGTAATAAGATAAATATACGCAAGTGAAGCACCAAATAAGACACTTACCTTATAATTAAGATGAGAAGGTGGAAGTAAGATAGACCTCAGCAAAAAGATTTTGAGCTTTTTCAATGAGTTTTATAAGTGGAGTATGAAGTGGAGATCCTTTAGTTGCCATTGGATTCTTTGCTAATTCCCATGATTCTTTCCACAACAAGTAGGCAACATCCTACATTTAACAACACTTAATTACATACAAACTTCTACTTTTCTTTTACCAAATCAAATCTAAATGTTTATCAAAATAGACTTACATGAAGTTGACCAGTATAAAGAAAGAAATCCTTGAGAAACTCATGCTTATAGCACCTGAAATAATAGACACATCTTCATATTCTCATATGAAATTAAATAGAAAAACTTATATAGCCTTTACCTTGCATAACGTATGAATAGATCGCGTGCAATAGGTCTAGCTTGTATCATTCCAAATAATTCCAATGCTGGTCTCTATAAAAGCCAATAATTTGAGAACTTAATTTTAGTATTATTTTACAATTAATCAAATAAGAAAACAATAAATACCTTCTGCAATATATGAAAGAGAACAAGATAAACAAGATCAATATCGCCACTTTCAGTTGCCTTAGTCAGGGCTCTATCATCTTCCCCAATGCCTACTAACAAAGGAACTTGGAAAAGTGTTAGTCTGATCAGGCCGACTCGAGCCGATTTGAGGCCCAGGGCAAAATCAAAAGATGAGGCCATTTAAAATTAGGAAATTTATAATCAAATAACTATATATATATATATATATATATATATATATATATATATATATATATATATATATATATATATAACCCAAACAATATTAACCAAGCAACATCCTTTCGTAGATAAATTTAAATGATAAATATATTATAATTTATAATTAGTAATATATCTTAAAGTGTTCCATGAGAATTGGGAACTATGTAATGAAATTTAAATCGTATATATAAACACTAATATATGGGGGTTGAAATTAATAAAATTATTAAATATGATAAAGGTTATCAAGTAAATAACAAAGAAAATTTATGTATCTTATATATTTAAGCAAATATTCTGGTTTAAGGATTTAGTAAAGTGGTAGGAAGAAGTCTTTGATAATTAAGGAAATATTTTCGTAAAATATGTTAGAATCATAATCATTTTGATATTTTGAAACCAAATGGCTGGCCCAAAAATTTGGATGGAATAAATAAAGATTGTGTAAAAACTATACATATTAAAACTCTGAAAAGAAGGATATAACGGGAATCGAACCTGTGTTTGTTGGTAATTTAAAAAAAAAAGCCAATAGTCGGACAACCAACTCAACTGAACTGAAGACATCTTTCTAAAATCTTTAACACTTGTATAATATATAAAATACCAAACAAAGCCCACCCTATTGGGTCGGGCCTGAGTCTGATCTGCATGAGCAGTAACTGCAGCATAAGAAATGCTTCTGCACAATTTCAACTTGAGGCTTTAACCTTCTTTCAGCAAAGATGCCTCCTGTATTTGCAACACTTTCAAGTGCCAAAGTAGCAATAACATGTTGCAGTTTTGTCCCCACATGCAAAACAAGCTGAACATAAACACACACACAGTCAGAATATGTAAAAAGCCAATAGCTAACAATGATAAAAGTGAGTTCTTACAGCAATAGGAATGATAGCAATCCAAAAATAAAGATTCGATCCTGCAAGCAAGGTACAATTATTTAGTTCATCTGTGCAAAAGTCGTGAACGCCCTCTCAATTGAAAATTACCCTAGAAAGCTTGTTCAGTGTAAAATTAATACCATTTATGTTAAAGAGCATAAAGGCCACCACAAATCCCCAGAGTGGACCACTACAAGGAATCAAGAAAGCAACTTTATATTAATGAAAAAGAGTAAGAAATAAAAAAAATATATGACGGATGTGATAGTCAATGTAACTAATTTCTTGTAAGTTATAATGATTGTTAACGGGAAAATAAGGATATAAAAATGTAATCTACTTACCATCCAAGTAACTAAACCATTTGAAAGCAAAAACAATTGTTAGATTTCTCTTGATAATTCAACTGAAAGAAAAGCAGAGCCTTTTCATGGAAGCTTTCCTGTTCTTGGACCTCCAACTGCAATTTCAGATAAAGTTCATCAAAAATGTGCAGCTACTTTAAATGTTGCAAGAATGATTCTTGCAGGATATGATCACAACTTCGTTCGAGCATTGCTAGAAGTCTTTCTGAATTAGAGATGTTTACAGAAGAAGGTGAAAATATTGATACCCCTAAGAGGAAAAGTGCCATAAATGAAAGAATGGAAGATATTGTGAGTGATCCATTTGCAGTTGAAGATGCCCTTGTTGGTCTTTTTGACCATAGTGATCACACCCTTCAAAGATGTGTTGTTGAGACTTATGTTTAAAGATTATATCAGGTACCCTTTGTAAAAATGTCTACATCACCCTTCATTGTTGAAGGTCATCACTAGCCCAATAGAATCATGTTATTGTCTAGAAGAAGTTAGCATGTTCTAGAATGATCTGGAAGATTCTAGAACATTATGGAATACGATGGAGGAGTGTTGAAGATGCCGGAAGATTCTAGAATACTCTAGAACGAGATGGAAGACCCTGGAAGGCTATGGAACATTCTAGAACACTATGGAAGACACAAGAATGTCTATACTTATCTAGGACATTATAGAACATTCTAGAAACATATAAAAGCTTGTAATAGATATAGAATATTGTAGATAGTTCTAGAAGAGCCATGAATGTATGTAGATCTAGAAACTTCCTATAAGGAGGTGGAAACACCTATAAATAGGTGTGGAGCTCATTTGCTCCAAACAATCCAACATCCAAACCATCCAAGAAAGCCTCAAAGAAAGCAAAGTGTGTAGTAGTCTCACAAAGTGTAAGTTCTCCTTAAGTGTATTAATAAAAGTCTTGTTGTTTCCCATATAAAAGAGTCGTGTTCAACAATCTGGTATCAGAGCAAGGTTTCTTGATAGTGAGAACGAGTGATTCTCGTTGTATCGTGAGTAGTTTGTGACTCTGCAAGTTTAGTTTTGAAACTAGCTTGTTTGGTATTACCGAGGTACTGCCAACACGATGGGTGATCTCCAAGTCGTCGGAGGAATCAAGAAACTCAACAACAACAACTACAAAACGTGGGAAACATGTATGAAGTCCTACTTACAAGGACAAGATCTATGGGAGGTCGTTGGTGGAAGCGAAACTACGCCACCAGAGGAAGACGTTAATGGTGCTTTGCGCAAATGGAAAATCAAAGCAGGCAAAGCAATGTTTGCCTTGAAGACCACAATCGAAGAAGAGATGTTGGAGCATATTCGGGATGAGAACACCCCGAAAGAAGCTTGGGACACGTTTGTGATGCTTTTCTCAAAGAAGAATGATACGAGACTACAACTTTTGGAGAACGAGCTATTATCAATCTCACAACGTGACATGACGATTGCTCAATATTTCCACAAGGTCAAGTCGATATGTCGGGAGATTACCGAACTAGATCCGCAATCCATCATTGCAGAAGCTCGAATGAAAAGGATCATCATCCATGGACTCAGGCCAGAATATAGAAGCTTCATTACTGCTGTACAAGGATGGCCCGTTCAACCATCACTTGTAGAGTTTGAGAATTTGTTGGCCAGCCAAGAAGCTATGGCTAAGCAAATGGGAGGCATCACGCTGAAAAGTGAAGAAGAAGCACTCTACACAAGTAAAAGTCGAAGGAATTTCAAGCCACCTTCTAAAGAAGGATACAAAAATGCTAACAAAGGGAAGAGTCAGCAAGGAACCTCACAACCATGGAGATCTCAAAAGACCGACAATAAGAGTTCTCGGGGGAGGAGGTTCGAAGGCAACTGCAACAACTGTGGAAAGTGGGGCCACATGTCCAAGGATTGTTGGTCAAAGAAAAAGTCTGTGGAAAGCAATGTAGTAACTTCCAAAAAGGAAGTAGAGGATGAATGGGATGCTGAGGCACTATGTGCTATAGAAGAGAATAAGACTAAAAGAGGAAGGCTAATGTTCGTGGATGCCAGGGTAAATGGAGGATACACCAAGGCTTTAGTAGATACAGGTGCATCCCATAATTTCCTTGCTAAAGATGAAGCTAAAAAGTTGGGCATCAAATACACCAAAAATCCAGGCCGGTTGAAAGTCATCAACTCTTTATCCAAGCCTATCATTGGTGTTGCATATGGAGTACCTCTTAAGATAGCAGAATGGGAAGGCACCATAGACTTGACAGTGGTGCATATGGATGACTATCGTATGGTATTGGGAATGGATTTCCTAGACAACGTACGACCCTGGTCATTTGAGAGAGATGATACCATGCGTATCACTAAGGGTTCAATAATTCACATTGTACCCTTGAAGAGAAATAGGATTGGATCCCAAATCCTATCAACTATGCAACTCGACAAAGGTCTCAAGAAGAGTGAGGCAAAGTTTATGACAGCCTTGAAGGAGGAAATTGTTCCCTCAAAGATGGACATTCCGAAGGAGAAGAAGAACATAATGTCACTAGGGTTACATAAAAACTCGCATCTTAGACGAAAAGTGGAACATGTGATGGAGAAACCGGATAAGGCGAATAAGAAGAAAAACACATTAATTCGTAAGAGCAAAGTAAAATCTCTCAACCAAGCAACATCTAAACGAGATGATCAGATCAATAAGGATCACGTCATAACATGTTAATATTACAGGAATTTTCCAGGGCTTGTAAAAGGGACACCCCACATGCTTACAAGTTCTCCAACGGGAGGCATAAGAAACTATATAAGAGAGTTCAACGGGGTCACGGACAATATTATGGTGCAACAAAAGGCAACCACGAATGTCGTTGTCAACTATGGAAACAATATACGAAGCAACGACTGCAACAACTAAGGAAAAACAAAACATGTGGAAGAGAAAAAGTTCTCAAGGAAGAAGTCAATATGAAACATATCAAGACTAATGACCAAGTAGCAAATGGAGTTCATAGAGGGTTAAGTACTGACAAATATGTGGGCTTTAATTATCAGCTCAACATGGTACAACGAATAGGGGCTAATGCTGAGGGGGAGTGTTGAAGGTCATCACTAGCCCAATAGAATCATGTTATTGTCTAGAAGAAGTTAGCATGTTCTAGAATGATCTGGAAGATTCTAGAACATTATGGAATACTATGGAGGAGTGTTGAAGATGCCGGAAGATTCTAGAATACTCTAGAACGAGATGGAAGACCCTGGAAGGCTATGGAACATTCTAGAACACTATGGAAGATACAAGAATGTCTATACTTATTTAGGACATTATAGAACATTCTATAAACATATAAAAGCTTGTAATAGATATAGAATATTGTAGATAGTTCTAGAATAGCCATGAATGTATGTATATCTAGAAACTTCCTATAAGGAGGTGGAAACACCTATAAATAGGTGTGGAGCTCATTTTCTCCAAACAATCCAACATCCAAACCATCCAAGAAAGCCTCAAAGACAGCAAAGTGTGTAGTAGTCTCACAAAGTGTAAGGTCTCCTTAAGTGTATTAATAAAAGTCTTGTTGTTTCCCATATAAAAGAGTTGTGTTCAACATTTATACCCGGTGGGGATCTCCATTTCCGAATCCGACAGGTTTTAAGCGGGGACGGGGATGGTTATGGAGACTGGAGTTCGGGTACAAGGACGGGTTTTGCAGTTTCCGCCAATATCCGCCCCTGTTTGCATCTCTACTTGTCCATTGTACTGGATAGTTTTTCACTGCTATAACCTGTCAAAATTTATCAAATCAATAAATGTATTAATCTTATAAAAATATAAATTAACATATATAGTAAGTAATACCTTTGCACAATCACCAAGCCAACTCATAATACTTCTTGTAGATTCAAACATTTCCACTACAGCAGTTAAAGTTGTCTACAAAAAAAATATATACAGAATTTGCATCAAATATTTACTCATAATAGCAAGATATTATAAGTAAAAGAAAAAATAGATTGATATTTTCTTACCTTTACAGCATAACAAGCGGCAGCAAACAACTCAGCATCATCTTCTATGGAACAACGTTCCTTTAAAAATTTAATCCTTTTGAAATCGACTTTTTAAAAAAAGCTATTGAGGAAATGGACTTTGTCATCAACAGGATTGATCTTCTTCAGGTATCTGCCATTAAATCAAACTTTGTTATTTAACTTATTCGCTAGAAACCGCACCTTCTGGTCACTTTAATTTTGATATTCTGAAGAATTTTTCTGCTCCCTAGCTGCAACAACCAGTAGAAAGAACAAAATCATATTTCAATAATTATATTGAATTTTTTTTTACCAAAATAGGTCTGATCTTACTTGGCTCTCTGAACCATATGGTCTCCCAATTTCATTATGTCTCCAACCTGAAAAAGGTCATTCATTTGGTCCCTGTGCTTTACCAAACTTGTGATTTTGCCACCAAATTTGTAATTTACTCTAAAAAAAGGCTTGTCAACTCTGCTTTGCACAGCAACCAAACACTCTCTAAGTAAGTTTTAAGATCTAATACGTGCATGTCTTCCCTGGCCCTGACACACCAACCACTACAAATAAAAATTACGTCCAGTCAGCATCAATTAATAACTTGTATATAATCAACCAAAAAACTGAGTGTCGACCTAGATTTCCACCTCTTACAAAGAACTTATCACACTTTCAATCTGTAACCGATCAATTTATTCAAGGCGTGAACATCTTTCATCATCTTCTAACTGATCTTTAACAATTATGCCCTTGTATACCGATTGGTTAGTACCCCAACGTTCATAATAGTGAGTAAAATATGATTAGTTTTATTATTATAACAAAAAACCCCAACATTATATTATTATTTATATAGAATCCAAGATTTTCAAGAATCATAATCAAATAAGAAACTGTACCTTCACTTGCAAGGCATGACTCCTGAGCATGGGTCAAGTCCATTTCCAATATCTGAAACAATAATACATCATCAACTATTAAAGACTAGAGCTAGAAAAAATAAAAATCAAAAATTAAAATTATACCATAGCTTCAACATCAGAGAAGTAAGGTATGCCAGCATCATCATTAGAGTTGTTCTGATCTGATACATTAGAATCATCCATTGATTCTGGATCAATCATTTTCATACTACCAACTTCTAAAGGTAATGGCATCTCATTGTACAATGGCAAATAATCTGCCCTTCTTTAAGCCGAACAAATTCTATCTATGATACTGATGTTGATGCCTTATCATATTGAACAACATGAATTACATCAACACTGCATAAATCAACTTCTTGATTAGGAACATCATCCATTGTATCTATCATATGATCCTTCACATCTACATCCATGAAAAGAATATCATCTTCATTAGACAAGTTTAGAAGAGAATCTGGTAGATCTGCATATTCACCCTCATGAACACCACTTGAATATATAAAACCATTAGGTCTGTTTCTCAAAAGGGACACTACTACCCCTGGTGAAGATTTATTCTCCCTTATGTGATCAGAATTATCAGGGAGTGGTGGTAATGTTTCTTTTGTGACTTGATGACTTTCTGCATTGTTGTCATCAACTGGCATATCAGGGGTAGAAACGTCTTCTAACGTCCTCCATAAAAGTAGTCTACTTGATGGAGATTCATAACGGTTGCATGCATAAAAGCCACCAGTTCTCTCTCCATGATCTGACCATTGACTAAGGCAAAGCCTACATTTACAGTTTTATAAAGTTATTAGAATCAACAATAGACTTAATTTTATAAAGCATAAACATTACTTTTCTATAAGTACATAACAAACAATATGTTGGACACTACTACAAAAACAACATTTTAGAACAATAACTTAACCAGTACATAATCACAGTCCACAGGACCAGAAGTCAATAATTAGAGAAACCAAAACTTCACATTACTGAAATTATACTATTTTGAAATTAGAAGTAGACTAATAAACACTTTGGGATCCATGTATTTGACTATTAACTAAGAAATTTTAAAAGAAAAAAAATCATATTTAGAGAGAAATCAGAAATCGACAAATAAGTTCTTAATTCTTAATACTGAGATTTAAATCCATACCAACAACATAAAAATCAAAAAGTTGTTACTAATCAATTTTCTTCCTTCCCGTGACTTATTTTTCTTCTGATGTGGGCATTTCATCATTATAGATATGCTTTACAAATGTTGATCTTCTAATTTGCACATGAAGTACGTATAATTAGTTTTTGAAAACAACAAACAAGAAGGAAGAAGAAGTGTAATTAAAAGAAAGGGAATACAGAGAGGGCAAAGACAAAAAGAAGAACATACCTTGGAGAAGTCTTTTCTTTTCTATCTGTAGAAAAAACTCTGGAGTGTGATTTCAAATTCAGAAAATTCCATGGAAAATTCTTGGAAGAGAGACTGATGATGAGATGCGTTTTTAGTGGTGTGGAGATGGAGGTTATGACCGATGGTGAAAGTTTTTATGGAGGGATCGATTTTGATGAAGAAAATGTTGGGAAAGCTGGGATATCAATTTTTTCTAGGGTCGTGTCAGATGGAGATTGTGACTCCAAGGATGACCAACCCTAGTATATCAATGATGGTGGGGAAGCCGGCAAAAGAAGGTGAATCGTCCACCCATGCTCTGGTTTGATTTGCTTTTGTGAGGTCCTGAACAAAAAGCCCTAGAATTAGGGAGGATGTATTTGAAGCGGGAGATATGAGAGAACAATGATGAAGACAAGAAGAGGCGCGTATGAGCCTGAGGTCACCGACGTTAAGAAGCATTTGTGTGGAGATCGTGTTGAATGATTTGTGAAATCACGAGAAACCTTCATCGTCGGGAAGAGAGATTGTAGATGGAAGGGAAAATGGAGATATAGTTAAACGAGAGATGAAGATGGAACCAACCCTAAATCGCCATGGCGGGGTTTTTAACTTTTTCTAATTTGTTGGGAATTCCTTTTCCTGCTGCTACTAATGATGAAGATGCGCATTTCATTAAAAAAAAAATATAAAGCGACATGATTTCACGACACGCTATCTATGATAAGTGCCCTCCGCGTTTTTATTTATTTTTTATTCTAACACTAATTTTAGGGCACGCAAAAATGCGCGACCTAAATCCTTCACATTTTGGGGGAGCTAACATTATTTTTAGGGTACACACTTTTACGTATCGTAAAACAACGAGTGTCATGGTTTACGCATCATTAAAGGGTATTTTCTAGTAATGAGCGGGGGTTAACCTGGCCCTCTCCCCCATACCCGCCCCCGATTTAATGAAAAAAATCCCCCAAACTATACAGGTCCCCCATGGGAACGGGGTCCCATGAGACATTTTGACATCCCTAAGCACTTATGAGCCGAAAGCTCTTCATCTCGGGGCCTTCTGGCGCTCTGAGACTTGCTACTAACACCTAGGAATTGCTATAGAAAAGGTCTTAAGACCTTGGGAGGTTTGGGAGAGAATTGGTTGAAGAGGTATGAAGAAAAGAGTGAGAAATGAGCTTTATTTATAGCTGTCGGCGCCCAAGTACGTTGAGCGTACTCAAGAATTACTGTGGGTGTAACGACTTTTTAAGGGTTACGCTGGGTGTACTCAAAATTATGTTAGGTGTAATGTGCCACGTGTTGCAATCTCATGCAAAACCGCATGGAAGAAGTAGCGGCTCAGATCTTGGTACGTGTCACTCGCTAGTTAATCCCAAAAATAGTTACCTTCTAAAATTCCTAACTTTCTCATATAAGCTCCATGTTTGACGTTCTTTATATCCATGTGTAGGTAGCGACGTGATCTACAACATTTGTTTAGACTCCGTCGGCTAATTTTGACTTTATTTTAAAGTTATATTTTAATAGGCTTAAACAGTTAACGTCCATTTTCGACTGTCTTTATATTGTTGAGCTCCTATTAACGAGATCTTCAATTCTCTTTTAGGTGTTGTCGGCTAAAAACCGATTGACCTAAAATTCGATTTTCGGGCTGTATACTGCTATGCTAAATCTAGAAAAATCATAACTTTCTCAAACGAAGATAGATTTGGATGTTCTCTATATGCACGCTCTCATTTTAACATTGACTAAGACTTTCATTTAGATTTCTAAGGCTAAATTTTTTTTTGTCAAAAATTCACTTTTTACGTTACGTGGAGCCGTGTAGGTTTAATCATAAAACTTTGACGGGTCATAACTTCTTCGTTATAAGTCATATTCCAGTGTTCTTTATATGTATGTAATCCTTCTACTATAACTTTGGTTAAGATTATTTACTCTAAATAATATTCTATAAAAAAATCATTTTAACATTTATTGTCTCTAAATTGACTAGCTCGAATTTGTGGGTGTTACACAATATCATATGCAAAAGTTCACAAGATATTCTAAACTAAATGCATGTCTGCTTGTGGCAGAGCAAAACAATGAACTCCTGATGAAAAACCATGAATCTCGACCAACGGGATCAATAGCACTTCCTGAATCAAATGCTACAAATATTGATGGTCATCGAAACAATACACATGGACGAGGGCGTGGTCGTGGTCGAGAACGAGGTCATGGTTATTTTAATCGAAACCAAAGTTATAATAAGAACCATAATTCTGGTCGTGGACAAGGTAATAATCGTTGTCATGGCCAGAGAAGGAATAATTACCTATCTTCACAAAGAAACAATGTCCATACACAAGATATGACCAAAATGGCAAGGCATGATACTGGGACATCACAAAATTTTGATGGTTCATGTTATAAATGTGGTAGCACAGACCATTGGTTAAGGACGTATCGCACCCCCGCATATCTTTGTCAACTTTATCAAGAGTCCATTAAAGGAAAAGGAAAAAGAAGCAAACCTCATTGATAATGTTGAATTCACTCCGCTAAGTTTTGCTGTTTTTTGCAATGACATGGAAGACATAAACCAAAATTTTCTATTATTGTTCTAATAAACCTGTTTTTTCCTTCATTTGTTTTTCATGTAATGTCTTTCCTATAATAATTGAACTTTCTTTATGATAATTATTATGATTATGTTTATTCACTTATTATTTCTTTCATATGTGAAGTTTAATATGAGTCCAACTGGAGCACAACACCAAGAAAAGGTTAGAGATCTTTGTATTGAAGATAATGGTAGTACACATACTATTCTAAAATCAAAAAAATATTTTTCAAAATTACTACCAACAAAAAACAGTCATACATACAATATCAAGTCCTGCAGACTTGATAAAGGGAATTGGGAAAGCCCATTTTATATTACCAAATGGTACAAGCTTTTCTATCAAAATGCCTTATTTTCTCCAAAGTCTAATAGAAACTTACTAAGTTTCAATGACATCTATTTCAAAGGATATGACGCAAAAATTGTGACCCTTGAAAATAAGAAATATATGTATATTATAGACAAAAATATGTGCTTGAAAAACTACCAAAGCTTGATTATTGTCTGCATTATACATATATACATATGATTGAATAAGATATGGTAATGAAAGGAAAACATTATGATCCAGGGAAATTCAGCCTATGGCATGATAGGTTAGGCCACCCAGGATTAACAATGATACGAAAGATAATTGAGAATACACATGGGAACCTACTAAAGGACAAAAAATTCCCTTAATACAATAGCATAAGACAATGTACATCTTGTTCCTTAGGAAAGTTAATTATAAAAAATTCTCCAATGAAAGTTGAAAGGGAGTCACTTAGATTTCTAGAAAGAATTCAAGGTGATATATGTGGACCAATTCATCCACCATCTGGACCATTTAGATACTTTATGGTCTTAATAGATGCATCCACCAAATGGTCTATTGTTTTCCTATTATCAACTCGTAATATGGCATTTGCAAAGTTTCTTGCTCAATTTATTAAATTAATGACACATTTCCTAATTATACTATCAAAAGAGTGAGACTTGATAATGCTGGTGAATTTACTTCACAAGCATTTAATGACTATTGTATGTATGTAGGAATTGTTGTTGTGTATCTAGTTGCTTATATACACACGCAAAATGGGTTAGTTGAATCACTGATTTAACGTCTCCAACTAATAGCTACACCATTGATAAAGAGGACCAAACTTCCTGTTTCTATTTGGGGTCATGCAATCTTACATGATGGATCATTGATACGCATGAGACCAAGTTCATATTATGTATATTCTCCTCTACAACTTGCTTTGGGTCAAGAGCCAAATATATCCCATTTGAGAATCTTTGGGTGTGCAGTATATATCCTAATTGCACCACCACAACGGACAAAAATGGGTCCTCAAAGAAGGCTAGGAATATATGTTGGTTATGAGTCAATCTATGTTATAAGATATATTGAACCATTAACAGGAGATGTTTTTACAGCACGCCTAGCTGACTACCAATTTGATGAGGCAAATTTCCCATCATTAAGGAGAAAAAAAGGTTCTAGAAAAGGATGTTTCATGGCATGAGCCTTCTTTATTATATCTTGAACCTCGCACAAAACAATGTGAATGGAAGTTCAAAATATAATGCATTTCCAAGAAATGGAAAATCAATTGCCTAATGAATTTACGGACACAAAAAGGGTGAGTAAATCATATATATCAGCTATCAATGTTCCAGATCGAATAGAAATTCCACATGGACAATCTGATGATAAAGTCACTCGAGAGTATAAAGCACACCTGAAGCGTGGAAGGCCATTTGGTTCTAACTATAAGAACCCACGAAAAAGAAGAGGAGTAGAAAATGCACTAGATCATGAGGAAAGTGTTCATGGAGAAACACCAATTATCAAAATCCCCCAGGAAAGGAGGATGCTACACTAAATTATTATTGAACGAATAGAATATGTGACCAAAATAAAACTGACAATATAAGTGCAATATTTTCTTATTTAGTTGCATGTGATATTATGAATGATGATCTCAAACCACAATCTATCACTGAATGTCAAATAAGAAAAGATTGGGCTAAGTGGAAGGAGGCTATGCAATTAATTCTCTTAACAAGAGAAAGGTTTTTGGAACCATTATCCTCACACTTGGAGTTGTGAAACCATTACGGTATAGATGGATTTCGTACATAAAAGAAATGAAAAATATGAAATTGTAAGATATAAGGCCAGGCTTGTTGCTCAAGGTTTATCTTGAAGACCTGGAATTGATTACGAGGAGACTTATTCACCAGTAATGGATGCAACTACTTTTAGATATTTAGTCAGCTTGGTAGTCTCAAAAAATTTAGAAATGCGTCTTATGGATGTTGTTACAACTTACTTGTATGGATCACTTGATAGTGATATCTATATGAAAATCCTTGAAGGATTTAAAATGCCTGAAGCATTAAGTGCAAAACCCAAAGAAATGTATTATATAAAACTACAAAGATCTCTATATGTGTTAAAGCAATCTAAGCGCATGTGGTACAATAGTTTAAATAATTATTTGACAAGTAAAGGTTATAAAAATAAAACTATATGTCCATGTGTATTTATTAAGAAAACAACATCCGGATATGTGATTATTGTTGTCTATGTTGATGATCTAAACATTATTGGAACAAATAAAGAAATCCTTGAAGTGATTGAACTTTTGAAGAAAGATTCAGAAATCAAAGACCTTAGAAAAAACAAATATTATCTTGGTTTACAAATTGAGCATATGCCTAACAGAATACTTGTGCATCAATCAAATTACACAGAAAGAGTCTTGAAATGTTTCAATATAGACAATGCCAATCCTTTAAGCACTCCAATGGTTGTTAGATCATTAAATATTGACAAGGATCTATTTTGTCCGTGCAAAGAAAATGAAGAAGTCATTGGTCCAGAAGTATCATACCTTAATGCAATTGAAGCTCTTATGTATCTTACTAATTGTATTAGACTTGATATTTCTTCAGTTGTAGACTTGCTAGCAAGGTTCAGTTTATCCCCAACAAAAAGACATTGGAATAGGATCAAACATATTTTTCGATACCTTCGAGGAGCTAATGATTTAGGGTTGTTTTATCATAATAATTCAAAACAAGGCTTGATTGGTTATGAAAATGCAGTTTATTTGCCTGAACCTCATAAAGCTTGATCTCAAACTAGATAAGTAATTATGAATGAAGGTACTGTAATATCCTAGCATTCTCAAAAGCAAACACTTGTTGTAACATCCTCAAATCATGCTTAATTGCACTAAATGAAGCTAGTAGAGAATGTACATGGTTAAGATCGATGACACAACTGGTTTTAACTCCATGTGGAATTGAAAAGGATATAGGTCTAACTTTAATTTATGAAGATAGCTCAGCATGTGTCACTCAAATGAAAGAATGATATATCAAGAACGACATGACAAAACATATACCTCCAAAGTTTTTTTTGAGTACACTTAAGAACTTATAAAGAACTATCAGGTTGAAATAAAATATGTTAAGTCCAACAACAATGCAACATACCCTTTTATGAAGGTACTTCCTACTGTAATCTTCAGGAAACATGTCTATGACATTAGAATGAGACATGTGCATAACATATAGTGTAACATATGCCTAAATGAAGGGGAGTCAATTATACACTGCACTCTTTTTACCTTCGCTAAAGTTTTTTCCCATTGAGTTTTCTTTAACAAAGTTTTTAATGAGGCAACACCTCAAAGTTAAACTCTAATCTGAAATGATGTCATCCAAGGATGAGTGTTGGAAATAATTGGATGACAACATTTTCTACCCTAATGTCAAATGTGTAATAGTTATGTTCAACTCTTATAACAAATATATTAAATGTGTGTAAGAACTCATTGATTATGTATAATGATTTAATTAGTATAAATAGCACCGCCATATATGTAAAATGACACAAATTTGAATACTTTATATAAGTGAGCAAATTCTTTCCAAATCATTCTTCTTCTTTCTTAAGGTTCTTAGTTCAGTTTTATTAATTTTGTTTAATTACATCAAATCATTTCATCTTTTAATTTTAATGTTGACATTGGACATAAAAAGATAAATAAAAATACTTAGGGTGTGTTTGAGATTGCTTTTTAAACATAAAAGTCCTTTTTGTAAAAGATGGAGTTCAAAATGTGTTTGGCTTGTCTTTTATGACTTTTAAGTGGTAAAAGCTAAAAGTCACAAAAAGATAAGAATTTCTATCTTTTCTCCATGCAACATTTTGTTGTTGATTAAAAATTGATTTTAAAAGATCTTTTCAATTTATCAAACAACTTTTATTATTTTTTAACTTTTTAAAAAATTAAAAGTCAAAAAAATGATTAAAAAGGAATTCCAAACAAGATATTAAACATCTTATCTTTTTTTATTGCTCTTTCGAATACAAATTTAGAAGTTACAGGGAAAAATTACAACTTTCTTATAGTTGAGGGACCGTAATGTTAATTCGTGCTTCTTTCTTTAGTTCATCTGTTCCTCTATACTATTTTGAACCTGAACGAGAAAATAAAGCCGAAAATTCTTGACGACGCGAAAATCCAAATTCAATGGTTAGTACAAAGTTGCTTCGAGATCCAGTTTCTATGCTACATAAATGGCGCTTATTATTGCTCGAATCTGATCCCTTTTTGTTATCCTTCCTTAAACCTTTACATACGTTCGTGATTTCCAATTCCACCTCCCTGAATACACTCATAAGATGGATTTTAGCATATGATCAACTTGCATGTTTTATGAAATGGAGCATCCAAGTTACATAATTGTGCTATTACTGTTTCAATCGCTTAATATCTTGATTTTGGCTGTTGGATTCTAGGGTTTTCAAAGTGCGAGTCATTTGGGCATATTTGCATCTGCGTTTTCTTTTGTATTCAACAATTAGGTTATTTTTTGCGAAACGAGCATATTAATTGAAACAAATTCGGTCACAGAGTCTAATTGGAGTAAAACGAATTCGTGGTTTGATCAATAGAATGCAAGTAGATGCAAAATTTTAAACTTGATTCGTTATATCTTCATATCTGCAGGAGTCTTGCCCTTCTGTAAAGAACATTCTACTTCTTGATTCAGAAGGAGATCGAGTAGCTGTTAAGTACTATTCAGATGATTGGCCAACTAACAACGCTAAAGAAGCATTTGAAAAGTCTATTTTCACCAAAACTCAGAAAACCAATGCTCGAACAGAAGGTATGAATATTGAATGCTTCACTTCTAATTTTTAAATCCCCTTTCTGTATCATATCTGTTTGCTGAAATTTGGAATACTCGCAGCTGAAATAGCAATGATTGAGAACAATGTTGTGGTCTACAAATTTGCTCAGGATCTTCACTTCTTTGTCACTGGTGGAGATGATGAAAATGAGCTCATTTTATCAACTGTTCTTCAGGGTTTCTTTGATGCAGTTTCTCTTCTGCTTAGGTACTTTGTAAACAAATTTATCTCATCTACTTTTCTTTTTTTAACTTCAGTTTTCGTAATGTAGTTTTATGGTTATGTGTTTAGGGGAAATGTGGATAAAAAGGAAGCACTTGAAAATTTAGATCTCATTTTGTTGTGCCTTGATGAAATTATCGATGGAGGGTAAGAACTAAGATTAAATTTTTGTTAAGGAGGGCATTTATGTCTTTTTTGAAAAAGGCTTATACTTTTTTTTTATTTTTAAAATTAGAATCATTCTTGAAACCGATGCAAATGTTATTGCTGGAAAGGTTGCTAGCGATAGTGTAGATTCTGGAGCTCCTTTGTCTGAACAGGTACTTTTTTTTTTTTATATATTATAATCCATAGAAAATTTTGAATATATAAAAGTATTTAAATGCAAAAATTTTAGCCCAAAATTATACGATTTATAATTCATGCTTTCAACCACTTGAATTTGGTTGATGCAGACAATAAGTCAAGCATTGGCAACTGCACGTGAACATTTTACAAGATCTCTTCTCAGGTAATCAATTCAATTTGAATTAGCAAAAAAAAAAAAAACAAAATACAATAAAAAAAGGTTTGTACTTTCATCATTTAACAATTTAGTCACTTTTAACGATTTTCTACAGTGATTAAACGTTTATAAATGGTTTAGAAATGTATAATGGTTTAATTACTATAGAAAAACACATTGGTAAAAGTACAAGTGTTTTAAAGTATTTTGAGTAACAAAATTCTGACTTAAATTTAATATTTTTTTTTTCAAAAATCAGTGGATAAGGATGCTGATTGGAGTAAAAACTAAAAAGTTGCCCAATCATGATTTGAAATTGGATGCTTTTGCAAATTAGAGCATACACATGAGATACAAGTGTAATGATTTGTAGGTAATATGGTTATAACTGTTTTTTATGATGATGATGACAAGGGTATTTATGTCTTTTGTACAAACGAAAGTTTGAGAGCGAGTCCATGTCCCACCTTTTTGATGGGACAAAATATTCTTGGACAAACTTTTTTGGGTTATTTTCAATACTAGGGATGAAGAGGTTATTTACGTCTTTTTATAGATCCAATTTGTTCTACTTTTTCGGCGACACAATAAATTGCAATTTTAATTACATTGATATCTTTCTATCGATCTGTTACATGTCAAATCCAATAAAATGTTGTTGTGTGTTGTCTTGTCTTGCTTATGTAACAAATAAAACCTTAGTGATTATATATGATATGGACCTTTTCATTCAAATATATAACTATTATCTAAATAATCAAGGGTAAATGGCATAAAAAACACTATTTTTATACACAAATTCGATTTTGACACTGTGTTATTTTTTGTGTCAATTTTGATACTGTGTTTTCCAATTGTTACAATTCTGACCACTTGATCGGTTAACCAGGTTACATGCTGACGTGGCATGCTGATATTATATGATGACGTGTCAAAACGGAATTTTTTTCTCACAAAAAACACTAAGTTTTCATTTTTTTTCGATTTTGACACTAAGTTTAATTTTTTCTTTCAACTTTGACACTATGTTTTTTTGTTCCAAATCGAACATCATTTTTTCCAATTTTGTTCAATGTTGACAATTTTCTATTTGAAACCTTATAAATATTTTTTAATACATTTAAACCGTATAAATATGTTTTTTTTTTTTTTTTTTCATTTAAAACCATAGTTTTGTATAAATACATTTTTTTACACTCAAACCATATTTTTTTTATATAAATATGTATTAGTTATATAAAAATTGTATTTTATATTAAATATGCAACTTTAAAATGTGTTTGGAGGTTTGGAGGCGTGTAATCGATCAAAACTCAGATATCAAGTTTACAACCCATCAAATTTTTACATCTTTTTAGAAGCTTATGGTTAGTTTGATTATGATGATATAACTAATGCTTTGAATGTAAGAAAAAAAAACATTTTGTATTTAAATAAAAATATGGTTTTTAAACGAAAAAAATATGTTTATACGGTTTTAAAATGTAATAAAAAAAATATATTTATACGGTTTCAAATGGAAAATAGACAAAATTGAATAAAATTTGATAAATGATGTTCGATTGGAACAAAAAAAACATAGTGTCAAAATTGAAATAAAAAAATAAACTTAGTGTCAAAATCGAAAAAAAGTAAAAACTTAGTGTTTTTTGTAGAAAAAAAATCAATTTTGACACGTCAGCATATCATATCAGCATGTCACGTCATCAAAACTGACACGTCATCATGCCACGTCAGCATGTAATCTGGTTAACCGGTCAAGTGGTTAGAATTGTAACAAATTGGAAAACACAATATCAAAATTGACATGAAAAATAACACGGTGTCAAAATCGAATTTCTATGTAAAAAGAGTGTTTTTTTTGTGTCATATACCCTATTCGATGTTACTTAAAGAATTAAATACGTGATATTCTTCTGGTATGATCGCATGAGATCATGCAATATATTGATCCGTTTCAATCTATAACATTAGTAATTTATCAGTATGTTGTTCCTTGTAAGGGGGAAAAGGGATATTTGGGTAATTGAGGGAAAAGACAAAAATATAAGTATTAAGTACCATGGATTTTACGTAGTTAGATTAGATGATATGAAAGTTTGTTAAATGTCTAAAATATGATAAATATGGAATGCAAGAGAAATTGGATATGAAAGTTTGTTTTGAGTATCACATATCAACAAAGAGAAATTGGATATAAAAGTTTTGAGTATCGCATATCAACAAGAGAAATCGGAGTGTCGCATATCAACAAGAGAAATTGGATATAAAGTCTCAAAATACATTGCACATTGTTAATTGTGTAAAATATGACAAATATGGTTTATAATTAACCCTAGGTTTTGACGAACTTAATTGTACTTGATGAATAGTCCTACAAGAGAAACCATATTTTAACGTGCTAGTGCTACCTTAAAACCCACTTTACGAACAAATAAAATATTGCTACATAAATGTGCATTTAGTCGTATGATTTATAGTAATTTGTGTTATAGCTTTTCAGTTTGACCTAATTCCTTAGTATTAATGTAATTAGTTATCGTCTCTATAGAAAATATAAGAAAAATATTAAGTTGCAACGTACTTCATGATCATGGTGACACATCCATCTCTTACAAGCCATCGTGCTCCCATGTATACTCTTCTACTTTTAAAAGATATTAATTAAATTCAAGAAAATTGTTCCAAGATATACAACAAGGAAACACCATGGACACATTCTCCACCTTCGTCTTTCTAGTTTGTATACATATATGCCTAGTGTATTTTTTGTGTAGTGATTGGGGGAAAGTCTTTGTTGCCTCCATGGAAATGGTGGTAGAAGGACAAAATCAAACCCAAAATTGTGCTAGAATCGATAAAGCTTTATGAAATGGAAGAGGATCGAATCAGTTTGTTGTCAAATTGTTTGCTTCTTGAAATTCTCTCTCGTTTACCCTGCACAAAAGATGCCATTCGAACAAGTATACTCTCCGATCGATGGAAGCATCTTTGGACTTCGGTTCCTACTCTCATTTTTTACATATATAGATTTCAATCACCCCTTAATTGATTTCGTGTCATTTGTGGACAAAACCCTAATTCAATGCCATAGATTGAAGCTCAAGAAATTTGGAGTGTATACATGTTATGACATTGAATTTGAATCTCAATTCAACCGTTGGATTCGTTATGCCATAAGTTGTAACGTTGAAGAACTTATTTTGAAGTTATGGTATCCAGGATCGAAAGCCGAGTTTCAATTGGATCAATCTTTATACATCAGTTCATGTTTTACAGATCTGACATTAGCAGGCTGCGTGTTTAATCCAATGGGGATGATTAGTTGGAAAAATCTTAGGAGTTTGTTTATTTCCGATGTGATTTTAAATGAAGTTTTGATCGAAAACATATTATCCAGGAGTCCTCTATTAGAAAATTTGGTATTAGATGATTATTATGGTTTTAGTCGGCTTGATATTACTTCAAAAAGTGTTAAGAACTTGATGTTGGTAGGATACATGGATCCCGATGATGATTCTGCTAATAATATTATGCGAATCAATGCTCCTAATATTCTATCACTAACAATCAAAGGTTGTTTGTTGATGTGGAAGATTTTGTTGTTAAACGTGTCTTCTTTAGTTGAAGCTAACTTTGATTATGAAAAGTTCGGGTATTATGAGACAACATCTGAAGAAGCGGAAGATGACATGCTTAAAGGATTTATAGTAAATTGTCACAATGTCAAGGAGCTTAAAATTGGGTTTTTATGTTCTAAGGTAAAATTTATTTGTAGAAACTATATGTTGATTATATTTGGTAGTATTTTATTGATTATTGTTTGATAAACCTGTTTTAATTATTCTTTTACTTGTATTATTGTGGTTGTAGGTTCTGGCTCGTTTGGAAGCTAAAGGTTTTGTTTTTCCATCGAATATGAACTTTCAATCGTATTGTAGTGTTTCATCACCTTCTTTATACTCTGATAGTGATTCATTATTAGATAGTGATTAAGTTGAAAGTGGAAATTGGGAGGTGTTCTTGTTTGATCATGGTTATAAAGATGATGAGTTTAGTTGAGTGGTGATGCTTTGAATTCATGTTTAGGCTAAACATTGTGTTTAAGGAAATTCAAATGGATATAAATTTGTTACCCCATGGGCTTTTGAATTTTGCAAGTATGACTACATAATGAGGGGTGCTTGATGAACATGTGAACATGGTGTCAATGAATTAGTTTGGATATTGTTTAAATGCACCATTAGAGAGAGTGTCAATGCAAGTTTGGTTACTTTTTGTTTATGTTTGTAGTGTTTTATAGATTATTTTCTGTGTACTTCTAACTTAATCAAACCTTCAAATAAAAGAACTACTGAAAGTCATAAAGATATTGAAGACTCTTTTTGTGTTGTGTTTAAACCAAAACTAATCTCTCCTGTTTGTATACTTTATATAGGGGCGAAAATGGAGTGTTTTTGAGTTATATCTAAAACTTTTTTTTTCTATTAGTGTTTTTATTTAGTCTTATCTGTTATTTGGCCACCATATGTCACCATTAAGCATAATCCAAGATAAACATGTATGTACATGAAAGTCATAAAGATATTGTTATAATAGTACATGCCTTGATTGTCGACCTTGAATTTCATATTAACTGATGTGATACTCGTTTGTCAATAACCTTTCTATATTTAATACTTCATATTTTGTATTTTTAGTTTTTCAAATTTGTCATTTTTCCGATAGAAATGGCATCAAATTAATCGGATGTTGGGAGGTTCTCATTCGACCATGTTCCAAAGTTTTGCTATGCAACCAGATAAAAAGAGGTTCGAAATTATTAAGAATTGGCTAAAAGGTTGTATTAAAAGAGCACGATGCAAAAAAGTGGCACATTGCATACGATAGAAGGTAACTAGATATTGTCTATACAATAGAAAGTATAGAAAAAAACATTATGAAGCTTATTATTTTTTAAAAAAAATTAAGGATGTGTTTGGTTATGGAATATTTGTTTTCTTTGGAAAAAGTTTTCAGAAAAAGGAATTTCTTATTTTCATTTTTCAGTTAATTTGGAAAATACATTTAGTGGAAATGAGCTTTCATTTTCCATATAAAAATGTTATAAAAACGTGTTTGTATATGTATTTTCTACCCGTCTTTATTTTTAGGTTTTTGTTATTTCAATTAGTACAATATTTAACATATTAACTAGATAACATTTAACAAAAGTTTTGTATTGGTTTGAAGGGCACATCAAACTACATTTTGCTAGTGCAACAATTATAAAATGGTCCATACGTTATTAACTTTTAGAATAATAGAAATGGTCACTATGTACTAATTAAGTTATAGAAATGGTCCATACATCCTTGTATTTTGCATGAAATATATAAAATAACAGAAATAATCATTGTATAATAGCAAGAAATGTAAACTTTATAGAATTTATCATCATTTAATAGTAGTATAACAAAATTGGCCCATGTACCCTTATACTTTGTGGGAAATGATACATTGTATTAGTTTATTCACTAGAAATAATTTATGGTATTATTTAAATTGTTTTAAAATAAAATTTATTCTTAATCTTCATGTTTAGTTGTTTTGTCAAAATTACATATTTGTGGGTGTAGATGTAGAGGTGAGATGGATAGTAGTGTGAGGTGAGGTGGGTGAAGGACGAGATGAGATTATAAATTAGTAACTTTGTACTTAGTTAATATATATAGAATTGTAATTGTTTTGAACTATATAACATAAACATCTATTAGAAAGAAAATGTGTACAAATGAGAGTTTTGAACTATATAACATAAACATCTATTAGAAACATAGTAAGGACAAATGAGAGGAAAATAAAAAATAGTACTAAATTATATATGATTGGTATATGAATCAAATTAAATATAATTCTAGATTTTAGGTTATTTTTAACTATTATTACGACTAATTAGTTTAAAAATTACTTATTTTACCATGTTGTAATTAAGATCATGGTGATTTTGTAAAATATGAAGCATTGATTTTTAGGCAACGTAAGGTTCATCCCACATATAGTATTTTGCATCACTTTTTAATTCATCGTTTTGACACGTGTGAATGTGTCGAGATACCTTTTCATGACAAAAAAATTAACGATATTGACATACCAAGGAATAGATTGAGTAAGGGAAAAAAGATGCTCATCTGGAAACTCGCCCCACAATAGGAGAGGATGTCATTTGATATTATTTGGCTTAGATGGTCAGCAACAAGATTCTCATATCCGTTCTTGTCCCGAATCTCCAAATCAAATTCTTGCAATAGTAAGATCCACCGGATGAGTCTTGACTTTGTATATTTCTTTATCATTAAGTACTTGAGAGTCGCATGATCCAAATACATAATGACCTTGGTACCAAGTAGATACTGTTGAAACTTCTCCAAGACGAATATTATGTCCAATAGCTCCTTCTTCATGGTAGTGTAGTTTCTTTAAGCATTTTTTGCTATCCTTGATGCATAATAGATCACATGAGAGACTCTTCCATTATTTTGACCCAAAACGGCGCTTATGTCATAGTTGCTTGCATCACACATGATCTCAATAGGGAGATCCTAATTTGGTGCTTATATGATGGGATGGGATGTAAAAAACTCTTTGAGCTTGTCAAATGAATCTTTTCACGCCTTATTGAACTCGAAATCGTTATCTTTTTGCAAGAGTTAGCACATTGGTCTTGTTATATTTGAAAAGTCCTTAATGAATCTACGATAGAAACCTACATGACCAAAAAAGAACTAACTTCCCGAATACAAGTCGCGTAAGGTAACCTTTGAATTGCATCAATTTTAGCCTTGTTTACCTCGATCCCTCTATGTTACACAATTTTACCCAAAAAAAGATGTTGACTCACCATAAAATGACATTGTTCAAATTTTAGAACCAAATTTGTTTCTATGCATCTTTTTTAAATCTTTGTGAGATTGGTCAAACACTCTTGAAAGGAATTACCATATACCATAAAATCATCCATAAAAACTTCAATTCTGTTTTTGACATATTCCAAGAAAACACTAACCATACAAATTTGGAAAGTATTCGGGAATGACATAATCTGAAGGGCATTCTCTGGTATGCAAAAGTGTCAAATGGACATGTAAATGTTGTCTTTTCTTGATCTTCCGTTGTCACCGCAATTCGATGAAAACCATAATATCCGTTTGGACAACAATAATGAGATTTCCTGGGATTTGGTTTATGATGGGTAGATTGGGTGGTATATATGGGTTTTTAGAATTAGATCGGTGGGTAGTGTTTCGGTAATTTGTTGGCGAGGATCGGGACTTGGTTCATGTTCCACTTCGGTTTCGGGATCACTAAAAGAAGCAATCTCAACCTCCGGAGCCACGTTAGTGTGAGACGTTTAACCACATTCTAACCTCATTTCCTTTCCCAAATGTCTTGCTTCTTTTTCAATTTTAGGATTGTAAATCAGAGTCCCTATACGATGAGATTTGGGCATAGAGAAACAAACTGATTATATCAAAACCAATCCTCGAAAACGAAACCAAAATTTTGGCAATTGTCTAGGCCAACAAAATAAATACACTCAATATTACACACTAAAATAGTGTATAGTGGTAAGGGATCGTATCCATGCAGATTGGTTCAATTTATAACTCTATTAAAACCTTTTTCTACAAATACCTGATAAACGAAAATAAAAGTAAAAATGGGGGGTTTTGATCATTTGGTTGTTCAGAGAAAACTAGGTTACACTAAAACTTGGAAATTAAAATTCAACAAAAGCAAGAGTTTGATGTAATTCAATTAGAGAAAGATGGTTGACATTAGGATTTCACCACTTGAACATTTAGTAAATAAATCATTAGTACTCAATGTGCAATACATGTAATGATTTTCTAATTTGGCTATAACAATCTAAGAAGATTGAGATTATGTAGACTTTTCTTAGTTAATACAATGGTTAGAGAAGCTCATAATACATTTTTTTAGTTAAAGTCATAATTTCCATGAAACATGTAATTAATGAAAATTAACTAGAATTAAGGTTTACAAGCCAAAAAATCCAACATGAGTCAAAATGCTTTCACTACCGTGTTAGAGCAAGTATTTTTATGATTGTGTGAAGTGAAAACAAATACAAGAACCATTTGTTGCTTACTAATTTTGAAGATCCATTACTTAATCAAGAAATTAGCCAACTAATTACTAAACATACATCTAAAATCATAACATAAAGACATATGCATACACAAGATGTTAAAATAGAAAATACTTTCATAAAGATTCAAGAACAAGTTCATGATGTTCTTCAAGATCAACCAAACATTCAAGGATTACTTATAAAGTCAACTAATATTGACTTAGCTTAACATGTATAAGTTCAATCAAAATAAAAAGTGTTTACAAATACCAAACTTAAATCCAAGATGAAAAGATTTGAAGAATGGTGTTCTTTAAGTGTTTTTTTCTCTTGCAAAGATCTGAAAAAATGCAGAGAATTTGACCAATTTTTGGATCTCCAAGAGTGTGAAAAAAAACCTCACTAAACTTCCCCATATAGCTATTAAAAGTGAATTTCCAGAATTTCCCCTTTAGGGCTTTTACAGGCCACGTATGGATGCCGCGGGACCTACATAGTGGGCTTCTTGTGTATTGGGCTTTCATTGCTTTATCCCACTGGCCTGCTTTTCTTCCCATCAGCTTGTAACCAATAGTTCACCAAGTTTTCTTCAATCTTGGCCCAATTTACCTTCTCTAAATCACCCATTAGCTCGTGTACTCACTTGATCAATTAATTATACATGCTCAATTATTCATCCATCTTCTTTTAAATACAAGCTCGTTTTCTTCTTGTTTCTAATTATCAATAAGCCCATAATTTGCAGCAACTCCACAAGTCACCAAGCTCAAGATCATTCATTTTCTTTGTCTGATTGATTCCCACAATTCCTAAACATCTCCGCCCTACATTAGTCTTCTAAAAATCTATAATTATCATGAAA